GGGGTCTCGGCCGCCGAGTGCGGGGCGTCCTTCGGCCGCGGCGCGCAGGAGGGGGGGGAGGGGTAGGAGGGGGGGACGATGGAGGAGGAGGAGGAGGGAGGAGGAGGAGGAGGAGGAGGAGAGAAGGGGGGGAAGGGAGGCAGCGAGGAGGAGGAGGAGGAGGAGGGGAGGGGGAGGAGGAGGAGGGAGGGGTGGTGGTGGTTCTCGACGACGAGCGGGGGTCCTCGGCCGGCGGGCGCAGGAGGCAGCTCCTGGCCGCAGCCCCCTGCAGCTCCTGTTGCACAGGGGGGGGCACCTCCTTCCCCCACGCGAATGGCCAGGGCGCCACTGGGAACCATCCTCTCTCCCTCTCTCTCAACCTCACTCATCCTCCTCCTCATCCTCCCCTCCCCCTCTCCTCCTTAGCCTCCTCCTCCTCCTCCTTTCCTGCCTCCTATCCTCTCCTCCGGCATCTCCCCCTCCCTCCCCCCTCCTCCTCCTCCTCCTCCGCCTCCTCCTCCACCTCCCCCTTCCCCTCCTCCCCCTCCACAATTACTCAATATGGATACTACTCTCCCTATTCCCCCGAAGGCGGCCTGAAAGTATTAGACCCCCCCCGCGTACTGTTTCTTACACACAAGATTCCCGGGAGTTGGGTTTTCGCCTTCTTTTTTTCAAAATGCTGCTGTCGCTGAGGCGCCGGCCTCATTTCTCCTCCCGAATCGTTCCAAATCGTGCTCCCGCTAAAGCGTGGGCCTCATTTTCGGATCGGTGTTTTGCTTCCGTCGTTCAGGATGGCGTTCTCGCCCCAGCGCGGGCCTCTTTCTCGCGCGCCCATCCGCCCGCCACCACCGCGCCGCACCACGCCCCGCCCCGCCGCACGCACACCCACCGCCACTTCCACCCACCAACGCACGCACGCACGCACGCGCATCACCACCGCGCACCGCCACCACCACCGCACTACCCCACCCACCACCACCACGCTACACCGCGTCACACCACATCACACGCGCGCACACACAGACACACACGCACGCACGCACGCACGCACGCACGCACGCACGCACGCACGCACGCACACACACACACACACACACACACACACACACACACACACACACACACACACACACACACACACACACACACACACACACCACCACCACCACCACCACCACCGCCATCACGCACGTACGCACCTGGCCCACCACCAAACCACCAAGACGCCACACCACGTCACACCACAGCACACGCGCACACACGCACACACACACACACATACACACCACCACCACCACAACAACCACAACCACGCACACACGCACGCACGCACGCGCACCACCACCCACTACGCACACGCGCGCGGAGCCACAGGTCCGCTACGACACGCGTCTGCGGATAGAGAAAATCAGCGCCATGGTAAGGGATGGGAGGGAGGGGTAGGATGTCAGATGTTGACGCGAGCGCACCTAACTTGTCTCCCCCCCTCCTCCTCCGCCTCCGCCTCCGCCTCCGCCTCCGCCTCCTCCTCCTCCTCCTCCTCCTGCTCCTCCTCCTCCTGCGACCCACAGGCAGGCCCGTGCCGAGCGCACAGGCGCATGCTGCCTCCCTGGACCGCGACGACGACTGAGCCTGCTGCCCCAGGGCAGGCAGCGACAGGATGGCACAGACAGGTCGTCGTGGTACCACCATGGCCCCACGGTGGTGCACACGCCCTCCTTGGAGCAGGGACCCACCGTCCCGGCACTCCTGTGGGCAGGCGTGCCACGAGAGGCCTCTCGAGCAAAGCAGCGCTCAGCTCACATCAACCATGCTCTCAGGACGCCAGACCAAGACTATGCAGTAAAATAGGAGGGCCTCGGCCGCACAGGTTCCAAGAGCAGATCGAGCAGGCCACAACCAGATGGTGGGCCTGCACTACAAGCGGATTTTGGAGGACAAATCAAGCATAGTCAAAACATTGACAAACATAGTAAAACATCTATCAAAACTCGTCCCCTGACTATTTTTCTACCATGTTTGAATACTACCCTGTAGAGGGACATGCCCGACTTAAGCCTATGTGCGAGCCAGGACGCCCCGGCACTGCGGGACTCCTGGCCTCGGCCAGCCGGGCACCCCGGCAGACAGGCACCCCGGCAGACACACACACACAAACACACACACACACACCATCCTCACGCCCAGCACGGCCCTGCCCAGGTGCGGCCCCAGACATGCGACGTTCTGATGTTTTCAGGACGGCCTCACTGGGCCCTGATCATGTGATACTGGAATTTTCCAGTCGCGACCGACGAGCACGGTCGCTACCGATTTTTGCTTTAGATTTTGGTTTCGGTCGCGTCGCGACCGATCGGTTGCGATCGGTGGCGACCCGTCGCGACCGATTTTGGGAGCGGTCGCGATCGGTCGCGACCGATGTGGAGTGTCGATCGGACGCTACTGGTCGGACCGAAAAAAATCGGCATCCAAGGGGAAGTCCCGACCCTTTCCCCGGGACCCGCTGTTCGTCCCGAGTCGTTTTCTGACGGCCCCGAGGCCCGGCGAGGGCCCCCCCCGGTGCCGAAAATAGCCAAACCCGTCTGGATGCTTTTTTACGACGCGATCATGTCTGCTGGAATGGGCGCGGGGGTTGCTAAGGTGATCGGGGAGTTATCAGTGGACGCCAAAGGGTTTGTATCTGGCCTAACCTAGCTTATAAGTGGGTTGCCGATGCCCCAAGTGGCTTGGGGGGATAGTGGTCCAGGCTAAGCGGTCTCCGCCCACTTAGCGGAGTTGTCTATAATCCCCCTAAGCCACTTAGGGCATGTGCAACCCACTGATACGCCAGGTTAGGCCAGACACAACCCCTTTGGCGTCCACTGATGAAACCCCCCTATCCCCTTGGCACCCCCCGCGCCCATCTGAGTATCGTTCAACCGATCCCCATCCCCACCAGCGTGGGCTGGGCCCCACTGGCCGACTTAACCCACCTAGATGGGGATATGGGCCGTATCCTTCGGGCTTCGAGGGGTGCATCCCCAACTGGGGGGGGGATTTGGCCGGGGTCTCGAAGGGGATGAGCACGGGGATGGGGATCGGTTAAACTTATGTCGGGCGTGTCCCCCTACAGGGGGATTTCCGACGACAAATAAGAAAGGCCTACTGAACATACCCCAAAAAGATCAAAACACATTCAAAAGATAGTCCCCCGACTACTTTTAAAAATTATCTTTGGACCATCCTGGGGGTATGTTTTATTCTTCGTCGACAATCCCCCTGTAGGGGGACACGCCCCACATAAGGTTAAACGATACTGGCCATCCCAGCGGGGGATATAGGCGGCCTATATCCCCCCCCATCTAGGGGGGGTAAATCGGCCTATAATAGGCCGTATCCTTCGGGTTTCGATACCCCCACCTGGGGGTGTGATTTGGCCGGGAACTCGAAGGGGATGAGCTCGGGGATGGGGATCGGTTAAACTTACGTCGGGCGTGTCCCCCTACAGGGGGATGTTCGACGACAAAGAAGAAAGGCCTAATAAACATACCACAAAAAGATCAAAACACATTCAAAAGATAGTCCCCCGACTACTTTTAAAAATTATCTTTGGACCATCCTGGGGGTATGTTTTATTCTTCGTCGACAATCCCCCTGTAGGGGGACACGCCCCACATAAGGTTAAACGATACTGGCCATCCCAGCGGGGGATACAGGCGGCCTATTTCCCCCCCCATCTAGGGGGGGTAAATCGGCCTATAATAGGCCGTATCTTTCGGGTTTCGATACCCCCACCTGGGGGTGTGACTTGGCCGGGGTCTCGAAGGGGACGAGCTCGGGGATGGGGATCGGTTAAACTTACGTCGGGCGTGTCCCCCTACAGGGGAATGTTCGACGACAAATAAGAAAGGCCTAATAAACATACCCCAAAAAGATCAAAACACATTCCAAAGATAGTCCCCCGACTACTTTTAAACATTATCTTTGGACCATCCTGGGGGTATGTTTTATTCTTCGTCGACAATCCCCCTGTAGGGGGACACGCCCCACATAAGGTTAGACGATACTGGCCATCCCAGCGGGGGATATAGGCGGCCTATATCCCCCCTATCTAGGGGGGGCAAATCGGCCTATAATAGGCCGTATCCTCTGGGTTTCGATACCCCCACCTGGGGGTGTGATTTGGCGTGGGTCTCGAAGGGAATGAGCACGGGGATGGGGATCGGTTAAACTTACGTCGGGCGTGTCCCCCTACAGTGGGATTTTCGACGACAAACAAGAAAGACCCTAAACATACCCCAAAAAGACCCAAACACACTCAAAACATAGTCCCCCGACTACTTTTTGATTCTTTTTGGACCATCCTGGGGGTCTTTTTTTATTCTTCGTCGACAATCCCCCTGTAGGGGGACACGCCCGACAGAAGGTGAAACGATACTGGCCACCCCCGCGGGGTGGGCGCCCGCCCGCGCCCGTCCTCGCCCACCCGCCCTCCCGCGCCCGCCCTCGGGGATCCGTCCTCCCGCCCTTCTCGCCCACCCGCCCGTCCTCGGGGGGGGAGCCCGCCCGAGCCCGTCCGCGCCCGTCCGCGCCCACCCGCCCTCCCGCGCCCGTCCTCGCCCCCTCGCCCTGCCGTTTTGGCCGAAGAGCGCCGATTCAGCGCCAGCCATATTTCATATCCGAGTCTCCGCGGAAGCGGGCAGTGCTCAAACGGATCAGACTCGGGCTGCATGTTGTGAAGATCGCAGTTGCAAAGTTGGGCATCGTCGTCGTACTTTGCTATCGGTATCCTCGCCCACTCGCCCACCCTGAAGGGGAACTGGGACACACAAATAAATACACACAAATAAAAATATCTTTATATTTTCATATATTTTCTGGGTTTTTGTCTTCCCCCCCACTTCCCATATTTTCCCATATTTTCTGGGGAATCGAAGATTAGTTGTGTCTGTGTGTTTCTTTTCCTCCTGACACCCGCCCTCCCGCCCTCCCGCGCCCGCCCGACACTGCCCGACGCGGGGAGCCCGCCCGCGCGCCCGTCCTCGGCCACCTCCCGCCGCAGCCGCGCGAGGCCCTCGCCCTGCAGCTGCCGGCCCACCTCGGCCCGCACCTCGCCCAGCAGGTCGCCCCTGGCCCCGGGGGGCGGCACGGGTCGCAGCTCTGGTCGCAGCAGGGCGGCCGGGCACGTCCTCCCACATAAAAGAGGGCTGACTGCCTACCAGACCACCCCAACCCAACCCGAAGACCCGAATTTCGGGTTGGGGGGGGTATGGGTTCCATACGTGTTTTTTCGATGTTTCCTGACCCCCCCCACTGGAAATGGAGGGCAAATTGAGGCCTTCGGGTTGGGTTGGGGTGGTTTGGTGGGTGGTGAGCACGGGCGCAGCTCTGGTCGCAGCAGGGCGGCCGGGCACGTCCTCCCACATAAAACAGGGCCAGGATCGGGATAAGTCGCTCTAGAGCGTTCTCAGAGCGCTCTGCAGAGCGTTCCGGAACGCTCTCTGGAGCGGCCGCGGCGCCCGATACACCCTCCAAACCCGCCGATTCTCAGAGATTTCGAATTATCCCGATCCGATTTTGTCCCGATCTTCGCGTCGTTTGAGGGGTGGCATGGGCGCAGCTCTGGTCGCAGCAGGGCGGCCGGGCACGTCCTCCCACGAGCGGATGCTGGAAGAGAAGACAGGAACAATGGTTTTACCCGACAAATAATATGCAGTCGGACAATCGTGGCAGTAGATGTTTTAAAAAAATGTTGGGAGATTCCTCCTGCAGAGGGACACGTCCGACTTAACACAAGAAAAAAACAACCCTGACTGCCCAGAACGTCCAAGGGTCTTTTGGTGCGGGGGCGACACGCTTGCCGTCGCAGAGCCATCGCAGGCCAAGGAACGCGGGGCACCCTGGAGGTAAGCCAAGCCCTGGACGCCGTGATTGTTTCATAACGTCGACCCCCACGAGGTCTGGACCCCTTCTCCCGAACCCGCTTCTCATCCCGAGTCGTTTTGTTGACGGTCATGAGGCCCGGTCAGGGCCTCCGGAGGCCCAAAATAGCGAAAAACCTCCCGTCGGATTTTGTTTGACAGCGCGAGGGGAAGGAAGTTGGTCCGCATAGATGGGCAGAAATCGGCCTTCCTGCCGTTGCGGGCGCGGCAACAAAGCCAGTGCTGGAATCCTGTGGGGACCTGTTTGGGCTTGGATGGCCATTCGTGTAGAATGACAGGGGTTGGCATCAACAACCTCGCGCCCACAGCTGGCACGCACATGCAGGACATTCGAGGTAACTGGTCCGCGTAAATGGCCGAAGCTCGGCCATCCTGCCGTTGCGGGCGCGGCAAATTCAGGGCTGGCCCTGTAGATGGCCAGTACTGGTTGCGAGCCGTTGCGGGCACGGCAATTGTATGCCACTGCTGGTATCCCGTGGGAGCCAGATTTGGCTTGGATGGCCACCCCTGTCGATGGACAGGCGTTTGCATCCAAAGGCGGCACTCCGAAGGGGGCAGGAGGACGGGGCTTGGCTTCTCAGCAGGAAAGGTGCTTCTCAGAAGCCCTGGGAGGACTTCTCTTTCGCGCTCCAGGAGGTTATGTGAATCACGTTTCTTGCTCGATCGCCGTGCTCAGTTTCCCCCTCTGGCCCCTCCGGCGCGCCGCCAATCTCGAGCCCACAGCCAGGAGGCCTAAACCTGTTCTTTGGCAGGCTTGACATCCAAACCCTCGCAACGAGGGCACAGCTGGGCATGCGAGGAACCTGGTCCGCGTAAATTCCAGAGCTTGGCCATCCTGCCACTGCGGGCGCGGCAGCTGTCTGCCAATCCTGGTATCCTGTGGGAACCACCTTTGCCTTGGATGGCCAGCCCTGTCGGTCGACCGGCGTCAGCAACCACAACCTCGAGGGTATAGCTAGGATGCCCGCCCCTGTCTCCAGGGGGCTCATCGGCATCCTACCCTCACAACGAGGGCATAACTAGGCATCCGGAGAAGTTGGTCCGCACAGATGGCCGAAGCTCGGCCATCCTGCCGCTGCGGACGCGGCAACGTGATGTCACTACGGGTATCCCGTGGCAAGTACCCTCACGTCCAGGGGTTCCGAGTTAAGGCGCCCCTTGAGCCGTCATTTCATTTCAAATCTTCCTCCCTCCTCCTCCTCCGCCTCCTCCTCCTCCTCCTCCCCCTCCCCCCCCCTCCCCCTCCTCCTCCTCCTCCTCCTCCTTCTCCTCCTCCTCCTCCTCCTCCTCCCCTCTTCCTGGTCCGCAGATATGGCCGAAGATCGGCCAACCTGCCGTTGCGGGCGCGGCAACTGTATGCCGCTAGTGGAATCACGTGGGAGCCAGTCGATGGACAGGCGTTGGCATCCAAAGGCGGCACTCCGAAGGGGGCAGGAGGACGGGGTTTGGCTTCTCAGCAGGCAGGGTGCTTCTCAGAAGCCCTGGGAAGACTTCTCTTTCGTCCTCGTCCTCCGGGGGGTTTTGTGAATCACGTTTCTTACTAGATCGCCTTGCTCAATTTCCCCCCTGGCCCCTCCGGCGCGCCGGAAACATCTCGAGCCCACAGCCAGGAGGCCTAAATATGTTCTCTGGCAGGCCTGACATCCAAACCATCGCAACGAAGGCGCACCTGGGCATGCGAGGAATCTGGTCCGCGTAGATGGCCGGAGCTCGCCCATCGTGCCGCTGCGGGCACGGCATCTGTGCGCCACTCCTGGTATCCTGTGGGAACCAGCTTTGGCTTGGATGGCCAGCCTTGTCGGTTGACGGGCATTGGCATCCACAACCTCGAGCCTATAGCTAGGATGCACGCCCCTGTCTCCGGGGGACTCATCGGCATCCTACCCTCACAACGAAGGCATAACTAGGCATCCGAGGAAGTTGGTACGCATAAGTGGCCGAAGCTCCGCCATCCTGCCGTTGCGGGCGCAGCAACGTCATGCGACTACGGGCATCCCGTGCCATGTGCCCTCACGTCGAGTGGTATGGGGTTGAGGCGCCCCTTAAGCCATATCATTTCAAGTCCTCCTCCTCCTCCTCCTCCTCCTCCTCCTCCTCCTCCTCCTCCTCCTCCTCCTCCTCCCCCCTCCCTGGTCCGCGTACTCTAATTCCGTTATTAAGCGTGGGGGGGGACACGTCGTGGGGGTGCCACGCCAGCGAAAATTATCCGAGGGCCAGATTCTCAGGCCGGCGCAAAATGCGACGCCCAAGGGGCGGCGACAACTATTTAGCATTTTGAGACCGTGGCTGATGATGCGGATGGTGATGTCTATTGTGAGCATGCTCGTGCTGATGGTGAATGAGACGAGGCGATGTTAGTGGAGGGACCCAATAATAAGATTACGCCTCAAAGGCCCCGCGCCGGCCCAAACAGTCCCCTGGGACGACCACGAAGGCCCAAGATACTCCCAGGACGGCCAACGATGGCTCCACGAGGGTCCGTGCGACCCCCAAGACTGCCCTCAGGAGCTCAAGAGCCCAAAGACGAACCAACATATAACGAAACGGTCCATGCTCCATGCGTTCATAGGCGACGGCGAAAATCAAGTAGGCATGCCGCGAGGGACGGCGGAAGATATCCTGTGAATATCGAAGCCGGCGAAAATTATGTTGGGGCCCAAAACCCGGCCAGCGAAAATTCAACCACCCGTGTTTAATAACGGAATTAGAATAGATTGCCAGAGCTCGCCCATCCTGCCGTTGCGGGCACGGCAGCTGTCTGCCATTCATGGTATCCTGCATGGACCAGCTTTGGCTTGGATGGCCAGCCCTGTCGGTTGACGGGCGTTGGCATCCACAACCTCGAGGGTATAGCTAGGATGCACGCCCGTCTCCAGGGGGCTCATCGGCATCCTACCCTCACAACGAGGGCACATCTAGGCATCCGAGGAACTTGGTCCGCATAGATGGCCGAGGCTCGGCCATCCTGCCGTTGCGGGCGCAGCAACGTCATGCCACTACGGGTATCCCGTGGCATGTACCCTCACGTCGAGTGGACCGGGGCTTAGGCGCCCCTTAAGCTCTATCATTTCAAGTCCTCTTCCTCCTCCTCCTCCTCCCCCTCGGAGGAGAAGGTGGAGCAGGAAGAGAAGTTGAAGCAGGACCAGGAGGAAGAGGAGGAGGAGAAGGAGGAGGAGGAGGAGGAGGAGGAGTTCTCATCCTTCTCTTCCTCCTCCCCTTCCTCCTCCGCCTCTCTCCCGCAGCGGCGTCGGCCGTCGCCAGGCACCCAAACGCGCCCGCGCGGGACACGGCGCAGAGCACGGGCCGGCGCGTGGGCGGGGCCCCCCGGGCGCCCCCCGGGAGCCGTTCCAAAGGAGAGGGGGCGGGAGGAGGGGAGGCCACCAACCACCTTTTCCTCCTCCTCCTCCTCCTCCTGCTTCCCCTCCTCCTCCTCCTCCACTTCCTCTCCTCCCTCCTCCTCCTCCTCTCCTCCTCCCTTCCCCACCTCTCCTCCTCCTCTCCTCCTCCTCCTCCTCCTCCTCCTCCTCCTCCTCCTCTCTACCTCCTCCTCCTCCTCCTCCTTCCCCTCCTCCTCCTCCTCCTCCTCCTCCTCCTTCTTCTCCTGATCCATCCATGCCAGTCTTGGTGCCCTTGAAATATGCTCGAAGGTCGGCAGCGTCGCCACCACTGCGAGGAACCATAGCAGCAGCACGCCGAGAAGAAAAACTCATCATCAGGAAAGGTGGCCGCCGCATCGTGCGCTGAAAGACACTCCTGTGTGCCACCGAGATGTGGGGCCATCCGGAAGAACTATGAAGATAAAACGGGTCGCGCGCCGAAATGGCCATGGTCCCTGCAGGAGGGGCTTTCTGGGACCACTTCGGCTCCCCCAGGGGGACTGCTCGAGGCCCCTCCGAGCTCTCTTCACGACCGACAAGGGTGGCTTCGGGCCACGGCTTGAGCCAAAATGGCTACGGACCTCCTCCTCCCCAGACCCCCGACGTCGTGATTTCCTCATAACGTCGACCCCCAGAGTTCTGGACCCCTTCTCCGGGACTCGTTTTTGGACCCCTTCTCCGGGAGCTTAGCCTAACTGAACTTAGCTTAGCTTAGCTAAACTTAGCCTAGCCTAGCTTATCTTAGCTTAGCTCAGCTTGGTGCAGCTTTACCATAGCATAGTATAGCACAGCATATCATAGCGCAGCATAGCATAGCGCAGCATAGCATAGCATGGAATAGGACGAGAAGAATCTATTCACACAACGTGCTATTGATACGTTCCGGAAATTCCGGGATTTCTAACAGCCTTCGCGCGGGGTACACTTTGCGTCGAGTATTGTCTACTCTGGCTGGCGCCGCTGGTGGGTCACCCATTCGCAATCGAGTGGTCGCCCGTAAGGGGCTATTTGGCAGTTGCTGACCCCCCTTCTCGTTGCCGAACGCGGGGGGGGGGGGCGGTGGCGCACCGTCCCATCGCCCGCCGCCGCGCACCGCGCGCCTCGGCGGATTTCCAAAGACCTGGCAAGGCAAATCATGCGCGACTCTGGAAAAGTCCCCGGGGGGAAAGATGAACAAATCCGGGAACGTTTTTGAACGTGTCCGGCCTATTTTTGAAAAATACCAAAATCGTTTTTGAAAATTTCCGGGATCGATTTTGAAAAATTCCAAAATCCATTTTGAAAAATTCCGGATTTCAGAATTCTTCAGATGTCCTGCGCGGCGGGCGCATTCCACCCCTCATTTTTTTTTTTTTTTTTTTTTTGAAAATTTCCGGGCTCCTTTTTGAAAAATTCCGGAACCGCTTGCGCAACAAAAAAAGCGTTTTCTACCACATTCTACAATCCAGAAATAATGTCCAGGCGGTCTGACAGGCGCGGCCGGCTGATTCACGCGCCGCGCCGCGCGCGATTGGGCGCAGCGCGCGCCGCGCGTTGCGTCCGCGAACAGCACTCGAAGGGGCCACCTCGAAAACAGCGCCATGGCAGCTGCGACTCGCGGACCCCCCAAGAGCAACACAGCATGCAGCTTGGAATCTTCGAGGGCGCTCCGATGCGCGAAAAATGCACCGCGAACATCGCGCAAAGAACCTGCGCGACGGAATGCAGTCGACCATTCGTCCCTGGAACCCGCGCGGAAGAACAGGAAAACCTGGAAATCTGGAAAACTATCAACATCAATACTTCATGCTCCTCTGATGGAACAGTGAACGAATGCGAAAACATGCGTGTGTGCCTGTGCGCAGACAAAGCAAAAACAACATCAAGCAAAAGCAAAAACAAACAGCAAAGCAAAAGCAACAGCAGAAGCAAAAGCAAAGGCAAGGCAATGCAAAACAAAAGCAAAACCAATGCGAACGTGTAGATGTAGATGTAGGTGTAGGTGTAGATGTGGATGTAGGTGTAGATGTAGATGTAGATGTAGATGTAGATGTAGATGTAGGTGTAGATGTAGGTGTAGATGTAGATGTGAGTTTCGCTGTTGATGTTGATGTAGATGTAGATGCAGGTGTAGATGTTAATGTCGCTGTCGGTGTAGATGTAGCTGATGCTTTACTAGATGTTCCAACTCCTAGGTAGGGTCGCACTGGGATAATTTAAGCTGAATCGTTTCTTGACGGTCGCGAGGCCTGGTGAGGGCCCCCAGGGGCCAAACATATCGGAAAGCCTGCCGTCATTTTCTTTGATCGCTCGAGGGGGTCTGGGTCCTCCTCTTTCTCCTCCTCCTGCTTGTCCTCCTCCGTTCCCTCCTCCTCCTCTCGCAGCTCTTGTGGGGTGGGCGCGGAGGTTGCTAAGGGGATACGGGGGTCATAAGTGGACGCCAAAGGGGTTGCACCTGGTCGAACCTAGCTTATAAAGTGGGTTGCTGATGCCCCACGTGACTTGGGTGGATAGCGATCCAGGCTAAGCGGTCTCCGCCTATTTAGCGGATTTGTCTACTCCCCCTGAGCCACTTGGGGCATGTATAATGCACTTTTTAAACTAGGTCGGGCCAGGTATAACCCCTTTGGCGTCCACTGATGACCCATCTACCTATACGACCACCCTTCGGATGATAAGGAGGTTCGGGGATGGGGGAGGAACCGACGTCTCACTCGATCGGTCTCACTATCGATCTCACTATCGATATCACCATCGGTTTCGCTCGATCGACCTCACTCGATCGATATCACAATCGATCCTACTCGATCTTTTTCATTCCATCGTTCTCACAATCGACCTGGCTATCGTTCTCACAACCGATCTCACTATCGGTATCACGACCGATCTCACAATACATTTCACATTCGGTTTGACGATCGATCTCACTATCGATATTACGATCGATCTCACAATCAACGTCACCATCATCATCAACATCATCGTCATCAACGTCATCAACATCATCAGCATCATCACCGGGACACCATCATCATCACCACTCAATCACCATCATCATTAGAAGCATTAGTGTCATCATCATCGAGACACCATCATCGTCACCATCATCATCATCAACATCATCATCGGGACATCATCATCATCATAATCATCATTATCTGACCACCACTATCATCAGCATGTCATCATCATCATGAACCGCATCATCATAATCATCATCATCGGGACACCATCATCATCAGCAACATCATCATCATCAACATCATCATCGGGACACCATCATGACCGTCACCATCATCATCACCATCATCATCGGGACACCATCATCATCAATAACCGCATCATCATCACCATCGGGCCACCAGCATCAAAATCAGCATCATCACCTCGTCACCATCCTCATCACCAACAACATCCTCACCATCATCGGGACACCATCATCGTCATTATCATCATCATCAACATCATCATCGGGACACCATCACCGTCATCACCATCAGCATCATCATCATCGGGACACCATCATCATCATCTCCATCATCATCGGGACACCATCTCGTCATCATCATCAACATCATCATCACCGGGACACCATCATCATCACCATCATTCGGCAATGTCAGCATCATCAACATCATCAGCATCGGGGCATCATCGACATCATCATCATCATCATCATCAGGACACCATCAGTTTCACCATCACCATTATCATGATCGGGTCACCATCATCGTCACCATCATCATCATCAACGTCATCATCATCGGGACACCATCATCATCATCACCATCGTCATCGGAACACTACCATTTTCATCATCATCATCAATTCATCATCACCACAATCATGAACAACATTATAAACACCATCATCGGGACACCATCATCATCATGGGCAAAATCATCACCAACATCATCATCATCATCATCATCATCATGATCATCATCATCATCATCATCATCGGGACACCACCATCATCGTGACCATCATCATCATCATCACAAGCATCATCATCATTATCATCATCATCACCATCATCATCATCATCGGGACACCACCATCATCATCATCTTCATCATCGTCATTACTGGGCCACCATCCTCAAAATCATCATCATCACACCGTCATCAGTTTCATACTCAACATCATCATCATCGGGACACCATCATCGTTATCATCATCATCAATATCATCATCATCGGGGCATCATCATCATCATCACCGTCATCATCATCAACAGCATCATCACCCACTTCATCATCACCATCGGGACACCATCATCATCATCTTCATCAGCATCACCATCATCATCTCATCATCATCAAAATGATCCAGATCATCCACATCATCATCATCACCACGGGACACCATCATCACCATCAGCCACATCAGCATCATCAACATCATCATCAGCATCACCATCACCATCACCATCACCATCATCATCATCGTCATCATCATCATCATCATCGGGGCACCATCATTATCACAACCATGGCCATCATCATCATCATCATCATCATCATCATCATCATCATCATCATCATCATCATCATCATTAATATCGTCATCATCATCATCATCATCATCATCATCATCAAGACACCGACGGGACACCGGCGGGACACCGGCGGGACACCGCGCGCCACCGGTCCCTGGACAAAAAACATTTGGTCTGGACGCGCCTCAGCCAGAGGCGGGACACTTCTCGCCCGCCCTCGCAGCTTCGCCTCGCCCGCACGCACGGCACGCATGAACACGAAACCGAAACCGATTTCCCGGTAGGGGGGCTCTCCGTTCCCAGACCTCCGACGTCATGATTTTTTCATAACGTCGGCCCCCAAAGGTTTCGACCTATTCCCCGGGACCGGCTTTTCATCCTCAGTCGTTTCTTGACGGTCCCGAGGCCCGGGAAGGGCCCCCAAAGGCCGAACACGGCGACAAACCTCCCGCCGTGATTCTTGTCATTGCTCGAGGGGGTCTGGGCTCCACTCCGATCTCACCCCCTCCCTCCCCTCCGATCCCCTTCGCACCCCCCGCGCCCATCCCAGCTGGGCGGCCCCACAGGCAGAGCTCCCGCCGCCCGGCCTGAGCTGCTCGAGCAGGGCGCCGGCGCTGCTGCCCCGCGGGCACAGGCCGCACCACGGGCGGCCCGGCGGCTCTATCGGCATCGATGCCCGGCGCCCCTTTCGGGCGCGCGAGAGGTGAGATTTAAGTCGGGCACGTACCTCTAATTACAGGAGAACTATCAGGAAATAGTCCACAGATAGTCTGGAGACGTTCTTTGACTATTTTTTGACAATTCGGGCTTTTCTGTAAACAATATTTTGTTTGTCGTCCAAACTCCGCCTGTAGGGGGACATGCCCGACCTAGAGGTAAAAGAAGAACCAACAAAAACGTCATAAACTTTCGGCGCTCCGCGCGGATTTCTTGAATCTGCGCTGGACTGGACCCCCCTTCCTGGCGCGCGTAGCGCGCCAGGGGCGGCGCCGGAGGCGCCGCCGGGGCAGCGCAGCGCGGATCCCAAAAGTCCGCGCAAAAGTATATGTTCATGGCAATTTCCTTCTTCTTCGAGGTAAGACGAAGCCAGGACGAGGACAGAATCGTGTGAGGAAGAATCGAGAATCTCTGCAGTCCGGCGGCTCTGGAGGCTATCTCGGGCGCCGCGGCCTTCTCCTCAGAGCGTGAACGCTCTGGATTGGATCTACCCTCTTCCTGGCCCCGTCTGGAGAAACACAGATACTCGACGATGTGATTTTCCCAGTCGCTACATCCCGGGGGGACGGAAGGACAGGATAGACTAGGGCAGGGTAGAGGATCAGCTCACGTAGCCAGCTCTCCTGGCGCCTGCAGGCGCCGGGAGGCGACCACGTCTATCGAGGAATGGGCCCGGCGGCGGAGCCGAGACCAACTGCATGCAGCAGATTTCGTCCCCCCCCCTTTTTCCTGTGTCCCCCCTTTCTTTTGCGGCGCGCACAAGAGGGTGGAGGGAGGGAGAAGGAAGCTGCTTCTTAGAAGGCACCGGCCTCAAATCTATAGATGATGCCCGCGCCTTCTAAGAAGCAGGGGTGCTTCTAAGAAGCCCTCCCCCCTCCCCCCCCCCCCCCCTCCGCGCGTGGCTGATTTCTCTCGGCCCGATGCAAACCTCTCCTCGAGGTCCAACGGCGGTGCTGAGAGGTGGTCGACGCGCGAAGCGCGGCCCGCGGGGTCAGATTCTTGTGTCTGCAGTCGCCAGTTCGGGCGCGAATCTGAAAAAACTACAGGGCAGTTTTTAATACACGGGATTGCTTGATATCAGATCTAAGTTTCAACACATGCCTAATGTGTGGATAAATGTATGCGTGACCTCGTCGTTGTTTTTAGTGCCAGATCCCTGCATTTTTTTAGTATACGATCCGCACGCGGAGCAGGCACCAAAAACTGCACTTTTAGGGAGTCCTGGAGCGCCGCCACGTCGTGGCATGAACTTGCGTACCCTCCTGGAGATCAAACGCAGGCTTCTTATCGTACCCCCGAGCCCCCGACTTCCCTAGGGCTCCCAACTTCGCGCTTCGCGCTGCGCGAAGCGCGAAGCGCGAATAACTTCGCGCTCTCGCGCCGCCCTCCCAAAGGGAGAATAGGAGGACGAGGAGGAGGGGGAGAAGGAACGAGGACCGCGAAGCGCGAAGCGCGAATAACTTCGCGCCCTCGAGGGAGCCCCCGACTTCCACAGTTCATCGGCGCGCGCAGCGAGGCCCGCGGAAGTGCAGTCGCCAGTCTCGGCGCGAAGATTGAAACTTGGGGTCCGGGGGGGGGGGGCGCCACGACGGGGGAGCACACCCTTGCGCTTGATTTCGAGGAGGGATGTTGGCGCGCTCGAGGCTGTTGACGACTCAAGCCAGTTTGCTTGCATGGCGTTTCTCCCCCCCTTCCGCCGCATTCTCAAACAGAAGAGCTGGGTCTAACAATTGTGTTGCATCCTCGGGGGGCCTTGCTGTCTCGTCGCGGCCATATGCGCGTCGAATCCGTGCCGGATCCATGTCGGACTCGTCGAATCCCTTTCAAATCCGTGCCATATCCGCGTCGGATCCACGCAAAATCCGCGTCGAGTCCGCATCGAGCCCGCGTCGAGCACAAGAAAAGACACCAATTTTGGGGGACCGGCGAGGTCCCCCGAAGATGCAACGCAACAACAGGCATGCAAGTGAGTCCAGATCGCCTGTCGGGCCTCGCCACACGCCCCTCACACCCTCCCCGCATCAGGTCCGGCATGCCCTCCTGCAGGCGGATTTTGGAAGAAACGTGAAACACAGTCCAGAAGTGCGCAGGAATCAAAAAAGGTCAGAAAAAAAACGCCCCCTGACCATTCTGGGACCATTTCTGGATGCTCCTCCTGCGGAGGGGCGTGCCCGACTTCATGCTGGCAGGATTGCCAGATCCTTGCATGCAAAAAAAAGGGATCTTCTGACCCGGGTCAATCCAGACCCGGGTCAGCAGGAAACCAAAAAACTGCAAGGCAGGGGACAGAACTGCAGCGCAGGTCTTCGCCAACCCGGGTCGGCCGACAGGCGCGGCCGCCTCGCGGCCACGAGCGGCTCGCCGACCCGGGTCAGCCAGAGGGGGTCTTCGCAGGATCCTGCAGGATCTGGTGCCCTGGCTGACCCCCGTTGGCACTGACCCCCGTCTCCTGAGCCCCGAAAATGGGGATGGACAGACCCCCCTTTAGTAAAACGTGGTTTAGTGAAAACGACCTGAGGCCTAAACCTGGCGGGCGCAAGCCTGGAAAATGACGGCCACGGCGCCCTCTCGAGAACCGAAAACGGACAATTCACTAATCGACGTGTCACTGTTGGGGGTTCTGTCCACCCCCGACAAAAAACATGCCTCGCGCGGCGGCCTCCGGGGGCCCGGGGCGCCCGGCCCTGCCGAGGCCGGCAGCCATGCACTGTCCTCCTACAGGGGGACGTTCGACGAAAAATAAAAAATACCCAAAAAATAATCAAAACATAGTCGGGGGACTATTTTCGTCGTAAATCCCCCTGTAGGGGGACACGCCCGACATAACAGTATATCGGCGGTGGACAAACCTCCCTTTCGTAGACCTCCCCTCAGTGAGAACGGCCTGGGGCCGAAACCGACGGACCCGGACCCGCGAGAACGACGGCCGCGAGGCCCTCTCGCGAACCAAAAACGGCCAATGCCTTAATCGACGTGTCGGGGTAGGCGGTCTGTCCACCCCCGACACGAAGCTTCGGTCAGGCGTGTCCTCCTACGAGCGGATTTGGAACGACAGATTTTCAGAATGTCCCAACAAAAAAAACAAAACATTTGCAAACATACTCAAGAATCCGTCCCCGACTATTTCTGGGCAATTTCTGGATATCCCTCCTGTAGAGGGACACGCCCGACTTAACACTAAGCCGAACATCCAGAGGGACGCGTGGGCAGAAGAGCGCGCGATTGGCAGCTCGTCGGAAGATGCGGAAATTGAGACAGAGGCGGGAGGGGAAATCACGCCGTCGGAGGTCTGGTAACGGGATCCCCCGAGTGAGAGAGAGCGAAAAAGAGAGAGAGAGAGAAATAGAGAGAAACGGCTGCGGAGTTGCTCCGAGACCCCCGCGCGTCGTCGTCGTCGTCGCAGACGTCTTCAGCCTGCAAGCCCCGGTCTACCCCCCCCCCATTCGCCGTCGCCGCGTCCACCTCCCTCTTGCTGCCCCCTCCTCCGCCTGCTCGTTCTGGCCCTCCCCCTCAGTGTCGCTCCTTCTTCTCCCTCCTCCCTGCTCCTGATCCCTCCTCCCCCGCCCAGCCCCCTCATAGGACGGGGCTCGGACGAGGATGAATCCGTTCCAAATCGACCCAGAACGCTCTCAGAGCATTCCGGAACGCTCTGACGAGGCCGCGGCGCCCGAGACATCCTCCAGAAAGCCGGATCTCAGAGCTTCTCGATTTACCACCACCCGAAAATATCCTCGTCCTAGCTTCGTCCTGCCCCTGCTCCATGTACTCCTCCTATCCTAGACCTCTTCGCCCGTCCCACCTTCTCTGTTCTCTCGTCCGGGACAGGGGTATGTCATGAGAACGCCTTCAACTGCAGATGTTCGACCCGACCGCGTGAGGCAGCACCGGCAATCAGAAACACCCGCTGATACATCGCTTGGCCTACTCACGCGAGCTGGAACACTTGGAGCAGCTTGCTCAAAAGCTTGCTCTACTTCGAGAGAAAGAAGGAAAAAAAAGAGAGAGAGAGAGAGAGATGCAAGGTCAACTCGGTGAGGATGAAGGTAAACTCGGGTGAGGATGAATCGGGGATCCTCATTGCACTGGCCTTGCAGACGTGCTGCAGCGGATCTCTGCGTGGATTTCTGCGTGGATGATTGCCCGAAGCGGCGAGCGAATAACGACGTTAATTTCGCGTGGATTTTTGTTGGTCTTCATTCCTGGCCAACAAGAATCCGCACGAAATTCTAAACGCTTCGCGTAACCTCACCAGCCCATCCAGAAACGATGCCCAGAGGAAGTGCCTCGATCAGGGAAGTGGGCAGCACACAGAGGAAGGATCCCCCAATGGGGGCCTCTTGGAGCGTCCTCGGGGGCCTCTTGGCGGTCCCGGACGCCTCTTAGAGCATCGTGGGTGCCTCGGAGAGCCTCTTGGGGCCTCTCGGGGGTCTCTTGGGGGCCTCTTGGAGACCTCCGGGGCGCCTCCTGGGACTGCTGGGCGCCTCCTGGGCCCCTCTTGAAACGCTCTTGGGATCCTTGGGAGCACTCTTGGAGCCCTCTTGGGCCATCTTGGAGCCATGTTGAAGCCTCGGATGGCCATCGGAAGCGAAAAGCCGAGAAAACCCAAAACATTGTTTTTCCCTTGCAGATTTGAACGATTTCGGCCTCTTCGGGGCCTCCTGGGGGAGCCCCCTGACCACTTGGAGCCGTCTTGGAGCGGTCTTGGGGCCTCCTGGGGCATTGTGGGGACCATCTTGAGGCATCTTGGGATATCTGGAGCCATCTTGGAGGTCATCTTGGGCTCACCCAGGCGCTCTTGGAGTCATCTGAAGCAGACCCCCCCCAGGAGGCCAACATGTGGCCAACACCTTAGTAAACCTCATGCTGCTGGCTGGCATTCTCGCCGAGGCCTCTTGGGGCATCTCGGGTGCCTCTTAAAGGGTATTTTGGGAGCCTTTGGGGGGCATCCTTGGGGCCTATTGGGGGCTTTTGGGGGCCACATGGGCCGCATTGGGGCCATCTCGGGGCCTCTTGGGGCCTCCTGGCCCCCCCCCCCCCCCCCCCCTCGGAGAGGCCAGACTGGGGCCAAACCCCTGGTACAACCAATGATGTGGGTTTCCTCGCCGAGGCCATATTGCCATATTGGACGCTCCAACCCTTCGCGAACCCCCCCGCAGGTCCAGGGGAGGGGGTAAGGCAAGCTAGGTGCGCTCGCGTCATATCTGACATCCCACCCCTCCCTCCCATCCCTGACCGTGGCGCAGATCCCCTCTCTACTCGTTCAGTCGGATGTCGAGCAGGGCAATGATCCCGAAAGGGTACGCGATGCATTGTAAAGCACGGCGTGGCATGGCGTAGAAAAGCACCGCGAAGCGTAGTATCAACCTAGCAATGCATTGCATGCCGTGGCATGGCACGGGAAATGACGCCAGCGCTGCAGCGGGAACACGAATCGAAACGAGCAGAAGCGCGGAAATGAGGCCAGCGCTGCAGCGGGAACACGATTCGGAACGAGCGGAAGCATGAAAATGAGGCCAGCGCTGCAGCGGGAGCACGATTCGGAACGAGCGGGGCCCGACAATGAGGCCGGCGCCTCAGCGAGAGCAGCATGTTGGACAAAAATGCAAGCGAAAACCCAACTCCAGGGAAACCTGTGTGAAAAAAATACGCGGGGGGGGTCGGACACTCCCAGGCCGTCATCAGGGGAAGAGGGAGAGTAGTATTCTAATGGAGTAATTGTGGAGGGGTCAAGACTCCCTCCCCGCCCGCAAGCCGTGTCGTTCACTCCCACCCGCCCTCCCAACACATACGTAGCACCCGAGTCTGGCCCGAGCCTCAGCATATTCAGCACTCGTCTTTGGATGGGCAGCTACTGGGGGCCAATCCGCCGCCGCCGCCGCCGCCGCCGCCTCCTCCGCCGCCGCCGCCGCCGCCGCAGCCGCCGCCGCCGCCGCCGCCGCCGCTGCCCGCCGCCGCCGCCGCCGCTGCCCGCCGCCGCCGCTGCCGCCGTCGCCGCCGCCGCCGCCGCGCCGCCCGCCGCCGCCGCCGCCCCCGCTGCTCTGTATCGTTTTTGTTGATGGGGCTGGTGGGGGGAGGCCGCATCGGGTTGGCTGCGCATGGTCCAACAATGGAGGCATAGCGTGCTTTGTACAGTTTTGTGCAAGGGATGGTGGGGGGTGCCCGCATGGTTCTGGGTTGGCTACCTGTCGCCTGGGGGAGGGGGCGTTTCTTAATAGGGAACAATCATAAACCTCTCCCCGAAAGGGAGGGGAGTAAAAGAGGAAACACATTAAACCACCTACGCCCAGAGGGCTGGTGGAATTCACCTCGAAATCCGGAACGAAATCCATCGCTGTCCTTCGAGCGTATAGATCCTGTTCGCGGGAGGACCCAGCGTGCTCCTCGGCGGCTTCCGCCGAGGAAAAACCCAGACGCCCGAGCGATGCTCCCTGCCCCCCCCATCCGCGGTTCGGGTGGTTCTAGAATGAGGTCGGGCGTGTCATCCGACAGGCGGTTTTTGACGACAACATGAACAACTCAAAACTACTTGTTTTTTTGTAAGACAAATTCAAACATACTAAGAAAAACCGTCCCCAGGCTATGTTTGTACTATGTTTGCACATTCTTCCTGTAGCGGGACAGGCCCGACTTAATGGTAGAGGTGCCCCCGGCCCAGGGTGCCCCCTGGATTTTCCAGGGCGGCCCCCGCACGGCCTCCAAAGCACCCCGTCGTGAGGCCCAGGGCTGGATCTAAACGTTGTTGTTCGTGTTGTTTTGTCATGTGTTTTGTTTTGCTCTACCAGTGTTCCTGTACTTCCTTGCCAAAGCGGAAAACACAACACAGCCGACGTCCAGCAAAACAGCGTGTATGTCCAGCCGTGGTGGGGCCCCGAAGGCCCCATGGGCTTCAAAATTGAGCGACAACTTGGGGGCACGTTGGGCCACGAGCACCTCTAGCGACGCCCCAGACACCCGACGTCAGATTCCCCCACACATCCAAAATGGGGTTCTTGTTTTCTCTGGACACTCTCCGCGCAGGAACCTCACCTCCGTCGCACTATCCGCCTCACCCACACATTCACCCCGTCATCGGTCATCATCACCACCGGTCATCATCATCATCATCATCATCATCATCACCACCACAATCATCATACCCATTCAGTCACCATCCATCACCATCACCATCGGCCATCGATCACCATCATCATCAGCATCACCACCACCGCCATCATCATCATCATCATCATCATCATCATCATCATCATCATCATCATCATCATCATCATATCAAATCGCACATCATACACGCCCTCTTGCATCACTCAGCAACATCAGGCGGGAATCTCGTCTGTGAGTGAACTGCGAGGACGTTACAAGCAGGAACCCCCGCCCTTTGAGGCCCGCAGCTCATGTTAGCAATCCGAGCGGACCATCCTCGAACCTGTAACTGTCGTCCCTTTTGGGCTCCTGAGGCCTGAATATGGAGGAAATATCCGGCAGGACCCTCGTTTGTGAGTGCACTGTGAGGAAGTTGCAGGCGGGAACCCCCTCCCCATGGCCAGCATTTCATGTTGGTAATCCGAGCGGGTCATCCTCGAACCTGTTACTGTCGGCAGTTTTGGGCTCCCGAAGCCTGAATATGGGGGAAGTATCACGCGGGATCACCGTCTGTGAGTGAACTGTGAAGAAATATTGAGCGGGAGCCTCCCCCCCCTTTGAGCTCGCAGCTCATGTTGGCAACCCGAGCGGGCCATCCTCGAACCTGAAACTGTCGGTACTTTTGGGCTCCTGAGGCTTGAGTGTGGGGGAGATACCCGGCGGGAACTTCGTCTGATAGTGAACTGTGAGGAAGCCTCAGGCTGTAGCCCCCTCCCTATGGGGCCCGCACTTTTTTTACAATCCGAGCGGTCATCCTCGACCCTGTAACGGCCGTTACTTTTGGAGTCCTGAGGCCTGAGTATGGGGGAAGTATCTGGCGGGAACCTCGTCTGCGAGTGAACTGTAAGGAAATCTCAAGCGGGGGCTCCCTTCCTACGGGGCCCGCACTTCATGTTACTAATCCGAGCGGGTCATCCTCGAACTTGTAATTGTCATCAGTTTTGGGCTCCTGACGCCTGTCTGTGAGTGAATTGTGACGAAAGCTCAGACGGGAGCCCCTCCCTATGGGGCTTGCATTTCATGCTGCTAATCCGAGCGGGTCATCCTCGAACCTGTAACTGTCGTCAATTTTGGGCTCCTGAGGCCTGAATGTGGGGAAATATCAGCCGGGAGCCTCGTCTGTGAGTGAACTGTGAAAGGCTGAAGCCGGAGCCCCCTCCGGTCGTCCTCAAGCGCGCGCTTCCTTTGGGTCGCCCTCAGGCGCGTATCCACAAGGACGCACGTCGTGCGTTTCCTCTGGGTCGTGTTCCC